GTCGCTATTTTTGTTTTTCGAGTATACACTTAATACTTCGAACCCTGTAACTACAGTTTTAAAACAGTTTAGGATTTTAAAGTCACATATTTTGACTTAGTTAAAGTTTAACTTGAATAAGAGGTGTCAAGTTAATGTAAAAATCGTTTGAACTTTATTGGAAGTATATTAATACAGTACGTACCCATGCACATAAACACCAGGGCAATGGCGACATTTGTGTCGTCAAAAACAGTACGCACGCATTCAATGATGATTTTTGGGTTTGTTTGACCAAAAAAGAAGTAAAGAGCGGTAGTGGAACTCGTGCTTGTTCAAAATAGGTAATTTTAAAAACCTAAACTGTTTAACACTATAGTTGCAGGGTTCGAAATATGAAGTGCATACTTCGCAAATAAATCTGGCGACATTTGTGTTGTCAAAAATAGTATGCACACAGTCATTGATTATTTTTAGCCTTATTAACGCAAAAAGAAGTTTAAAAAAGCGATAGTGGAACTCATTAGTCTATTCTTGTTCAAAATATGTGACTTTAAAATCCTAAACTGTTTTAAAACTGTAGTTACAGGGTTCGAAGTAAGTGTATACTCGAAAAACAAAAATAGCGACATTTGTCTTTTCAAAGACAGTGCACACGCATTCAATATTGATTTTTGAGTTTGTTTTGCCAAAAAGAAGTTTAAAAAAGCGATAGTGGAACTCATTAGTCTATTCTTGTTCAAAATATGTAACCTTAAAATCCCAAACTCTTTTAAAACTGTAGTTACAGGGTTCGGATTTAGAACAACAAAAATTGACATATTTTCGTAGTCGCGCAAGGTGAGCTGTTAAAAAATATATTTATTACAAAATTTGTATATCGCAGGGATTTGTGAACGTCCTAGTGGAATCAACATTACATATGAGAGTATAACTATATGCCTTAGCAGACAAGTGACAGCTTTGTCGCCAAGTTCCAGGGTTCGAAATATAACCACACAGGGAGAGATGTAATATACGTGCGTAATTGTTTTGTCAACGTTGTGAAAAACCGAAGTTATAATGATTGTTTTTATAGGGAAAATTAAAAATATACACGTACTCACCTTGGCATATATTCTCTGCTTTTGGTACCGCCAAAAAATATCTTTTACCTTTGCGTTTGTTAAAAAAAAAGGAAAAAATATATGCAAAATCTACATTTTTTAAACTTTTTACAGGCCAGTTGCCACGGCAACTGATGAATTGATACGTGCTAGCCCGTATCACGGATGCCACGTTCGCATCATAGCGTTTTGCCTAGCGTTTCCAGTCCATTCCTTTGATTGTCTATGGTGCCAGTGATAACACATGCATTAGGCTGTTGCTATTGAAAGCACTTGACTATGATCTGGAGAAGCCTATGCAGCCACTACACCTTTGTTGCAGTGTTTGCAAACAAAAGTGTGAATGTTCAGATTGCTTGTACGTTCTTATGGAAAAACTTTAGATGGCCAATTTATATATACAGCTGTTTAAATTAAGGTTGTCAGTAACAATAGTTAAATGTACATGTATAGAATTATACAAATAACATTTTTAATTTAATGTATTCAAGTGTTTAACACGTCAGTATAGCCTCATGTGATTACAAATACCGGTATAGTATTTGAATATACTGTATGACACCAATGAATATATTTGTAATCCCACAAGTCCATGCTGACATGTTAAACATATTGTACATTTAATTATGGTTAGAATGGTTACTGCCAGCTGTAATCCACCATAATAAGAAAGATGGTGGATGTCAATTTTACCATAATGCTCTGAAAAGCTGTTTACTACCATAATGCTCTGAAAAGTTGGTTACTATAACTGCTATTAATTAAAAGACAGTTTGACTTGTAACATCAATTTATGGATCAACAACATACTTATTACAATTTTATGATCTTGTTGCTATTCCTTTTCAGGTATTTTCTTAAGATATCCCAAAGAATTATGGTAAAATTGACATGCCGCCATCTTTTTCATTATTTTTCATAGCTGTTGTTATTTTGTATATGAACTATTTATATTATTACTCTTGTTATGTAAACACAACTATCTTTGAGAATGGGCTTAGGGAGAAGTTTGTAGGGAGGGGTCCCTATACCCTACCTCCAGGGAGAGTGTATAGGAAGGGAGGGGATATAGGAAGGGAGGGGATATAGGGAGAGAGGGTATAGGTTTCCAGGGGGTTGAAGGGACAGGAGTATAATATTACTCTAACTTGTTCTCTTAAAAGTGTAACATTTTTAATAAGATTATTTGTGATTTAGATTTGTGTGTCATATATAATTTTTTAAAATTAATTAATCAGCATATTTATGTACAGTAATATTTATTAGAGAATCAAACATTTTTTACCCTATTCTTTACCGGTATGTGCGACTAATAAGCCTAATCTTCACAAATAAAATGATTAATAAGCCTAATCTTCGCCCTCACTAGACTCTTCAGCATCACTAGACACTGGGTAGTGCCGCAGAATATTGTTTTTATGTCTTGCAAGCCATATGTCAAATTTAGCCCATATATATATATATATATATATAATTCAGTCAAGGTTTGAATGTTTGCGTCGCTACTCTGAGTTTCACGCTTTACGCGATCATCAGGCAACTGACAGATATTATTCAATATTCATAATAAATATAGGTTATCATTTTACAACTTGATTAAGCAGGTATCTGGTTACATGTCTACATTTGGAAAACAAGTCAGATGTAGACATGTCCAAATGTAGACATGTAACCAGATACCTGCTTAATCAAGTTGTAAAATGATAACCTATATTTATTATGAATATTGAATAATATCTGTCAGTTGCCTGATGATCGCGTAAAGCGTGAAACTTAGAGTAGCGACGCAAACATTCAAACCTTGACTGAATTAATTCCGCTCTACTTATTATGGTATTGAGCGCTCTTCTACCTTACGTCAACTCATCGACTATTTTTTTGAATATAGTCTTAGTATATATATATGTATATATATATATATATATATATATATATATATATATATATATATATATATATATATATATATATATATATATATATATATATATATATATATATATATATATATATATATATATATATATATATATATATATAAACAGGGCAGGATTTCCGCAACAGCTACAGCAAATTACTGCGGATCCTTCTTCACAATATTCGATAAATTAGTTAAGTTTACTAAGGACTAAATTGTAAGGACTAAATAATAAAATCGGTCAATCAGTTAACGAACTGTTCAATTGATGTGTTCAATCAACCAACCAAGAGATCAAGCAATCAGACACTTACTTATAAAAATATATTTTACCATTGGTAAAAACAAAACCTTTCCATACAATGTAATAGCATGGATATGAAGAAAAAACCCCTTAAAAAACACAGTGACTGAAAGTTACACACAATCCAGTTT